AAACGTTCCTGAACGAGCGAGCATGGATCGTACTTAAACTAGAGAGCATGGATCGTTGTTGAACCAATAAGCGTGAATCGTCCTTGAACCTGCGAGCGTGAATCTGGAAACGGTGGCACCTGACGATGGTGGCCGTCGGCGTTGATGAAAGCGGTAAAGTGGCCGCGCTGTTGGCGGTTGTGATGCCACGTCAATGGTGGTCGTGGTGCGGCGTCGACGAAAGGAGCATGCTATCGCAGCTAACCTGTGCGCCGTGGCGTCCGCTATCGCACCTAGCATGGACGCGCTGCCGGTGGTAGCTGTGGAAGCCGGATTGCCGACCGGCACCGGCGGAGCCCTCTCCCGTACCTTTGCGCCGTAAATGATGTTGGTGTGCCATATTTTTTATAACGCTGAAGAAAAGGCCGACTTTGTCGACATAATGCATTATCAGGCACCTCCAACTCAAGGATGCAGCTCTTCTTACCAAAGCAAGCAATTTTACGTGAAAGGGAGGAGCGATTATATTTGAGACTGATTGCTTTATCTACAATGGCAGGTCACGTATGACTCATTATAGAGCTCCTCTGCATGGAGGACGCCTACACTCCACTGCAGTACGGGCCGCAACTCGAGGACAACTTAGCGCTAAGCGCTAATGATTTGATCACCTCAACGAAAGCGATATACAAATGATCACAATAGGTCATCGAATTGCGACGTTGCAAATGCTTAATCTATGAAGCCGTCTCAGCCATATGATCGAACGAACCTACGGAAAAGTTTTTTGTTCTCAATGAAATTGAAATCGAGGTTCAGTGAATTTTTGCTGTCCGAGCAAAGTGTTTAACTGATTGGTAGATCGTGGGCGGCTTGGTCTTTCCTGGTCACGAATAAGGCAAGGCTAAATTGCTAAAACGTCAGCTTTTAGAGTAAATTTCATTATGAACATCAAGTTGCCCTATAATTGAAAATTGAAATTCTTCCATTATTTGCCCCGCAGCGTGGGAACGATATTACAAATCATATTCAGAGAAACTTTCTTTTGATCAGTGCTAAATATTTCGAGCACAATTCATTGGGGTGATGAGAGCTTATTGAGATCAAATGGTGGAATTTTCCAGCGGCGCAGTGGTTAGAGGCAGCAGTATAATTATTTTCACCATTTCTTGCAAGATTATTTTTCTCTAACAACTTCTGTAAATAACATTCATCTTAGATTTTGCATTCCACATATTGTCTCAGATAATGTTAGGTTGAATGTTGTCCTTCTAAATCTATCAAAAATCGGTGAATCTTTTCGTATTTATTCAAGGACAAGCTAATTTCATCATTGTCTATCAACCGTTGAGAGGAAAAGACCATTGAGAAACGCAATAACTCCATAAAGTAATTATTAAGATAGAAATTCGCTGTATGAATTTGCGTAGACTTGGTGAACGCTGATAAATTTGCTTTATTAGTACTTGTGAAAAGGTGCTCGATAATCCTATCAAAGAAATCTCCATTACGTTATTACTTCAGCTCGTCTAAAATGCAAGGATTCTTATATATTTTGTGTTCCAGAAGATTGTTTATTGAAGACGCTTAATCGGAGATTCAACAATGCTGATGAAATGGCTTCCAACTATTACATTGATTTACTGACGACAATAGTCGCAGTAATATCGGCGGCGCTTCTTCTCGCTGAACTTCTACTAATCGCTCTTAGATTCAACAACATAAGAAAATACTCATATTTCAAGTGTTTTGTTTTTAGTGGTACGTCTGATTTCTTTGCCAAAAGATTCTGGATATTCGGGTGCGGTTAAGTGAATGAAAATGAAATCGAACACGCAGTTTTGAGAATTCCATAAACGCTTTTATATTTTATTGATTGTTTTGAGACGTGATGAGTTTATCCATCCATCGTGTGTAAAACTTAAAGCTTCTCTTAAATGACTTTTTGTTTTGGATTCGTCATTGAAGGTGCTGAAACATGGGCGCGGTTGCCAATTCAGGATGTCAACTTCCTCATGAAATCATTGAGTGGTGATCAATAGACTTGTTCTAGGAAATTGCATCAGATTCGGTCAAGCGTTCCCACTTTTTTATAAAAAGGCGTTTTCTAACTTCGTGGAGCGGAGGACCTTTCCGGTATCATCCACTGCAAAGGAGTGGGATCTCGGCTTGCCCAAGGTACTGGGCTGAAGCCAACGTTTTTTATGCGTGTTGTAAAGCATAAAACGCGTGTGATGCAATGGTTGGAGATGCACTGAGACGCACTTGAATGTTGGTCGATGGTTCGGTATAGCACTCGAGGCTCACCAAGTCTTCCATCCCTGGGGTAGGTGATCTGATATCAGGTTGCCTGGGACGATAGGAGATAGCAGCTCTGACTTGATACTCTGTAGGCACCACTAGTCAATATGCATTCAGCACCACTGCGGAGCATCTATAATCGCTACTCTTTACAATTCCTCATTGTCTTAATGTTCAACATAAGCATTCTCTGGCTTCCGATTCCAGAAATATCTTTAGTCGTCTGATTAGTGTGCCTTCAAAAAGCAGTAACTTCAGTCTTTTTGGACGTCGTAAGAGAATAGGTTCTAAAAAGGCGTTTTAGTAACAAAATGTTATGAAATAATTCCGTGTTTTCTTGATAAGCAGGCTCGTAGATCGATATTAAGACTTTTGAGTACAATATAGTACAATAATAATGCCTAACATCTCTGTTTCCTCTTCTTCGGAGTCTGGAAGAATTAAGTTGACGTGCAACTACTCAGCCAAGCGCATTCATAACTAGAGCGATTGAAACCTATTGATTGAGTATCTAATCAAATAGTAAGCAGCTTTCATTGAATATTGCTTTGTTGTTTCAAGGTTCACTAGTTAATATGTGGAACAGCCGCACAGATTTTATATGGGTCAAGTATAAGCCTCACAGAGATGCGCAAAAGTCATTCTCACACATAACGCGAAATCACATGTGATGACGAGGCACGACATTATACATTAATGTTGAATTTTTAGCTCTAATCCAATAGGTTTCAGGTCTCTAACTCTTATGTTTCATCGTGAGGGTGGTAGTTTTCATTTCTAGGACGTTCGCTATCATGTGTTTAAGTCCCATGAACCCTAGTGGAGTGTTTAATGTGATTCTAATTTCACCGACTAGGTATTCATCTAAACGGGCACAAACTGATTTACTCGTCTCCTCATGAATCGCAAGAATGAGCGTCTAGTCACTATGTCTGACCTCATGCCATATCTCAGATATATTTTCGACCGAGGCACATACACTCCTCGCCCATATGGGACTCTGTGAAGGTGGCCTCTAGTAACTGGAGAACCCCAAACTAACAAACCGGTGAGTTCGAAAAAACTACACGATGCGACATTTTCCAAGACGTGGGCCATTACCGTTGTACCCTATTGTGCTCCATAAATTTTATGGTTGGTATCTTGCGTTTGCCTATCAAGAAAACGCGGCGTTATCTGACTAATGTCGAGATTAATCGATAGTAGGTTCTGAAAATTGGCACAAATTATGTTACTGCGGTCTTAAATAATTTGTGTTGAGATGCAAAGATACTGATGCGGTTGAATGAACATAGGGTTTTGGGTCAATCCTTCATCAAGATAACCAAGAATACCACCAAATGAAAATGTGGAAACGCCATAGGGCGGCTATACATGGAAACGCTCTAGTACAGCTATTATAGTAATCCGGTGAGAGTGAGCATGACCAACACTCAACAGCATACTTGAAGAAGAGGAAAAATCTTCGAATTATGGCAAAATTCACTTGATAATCTGGCTTTCGTATATGATTGATCTTAGAAAAATTGAATGGAAGTACTTTACCTGGGTATTATAAATGCTGTTCAGCCGCAAAGTGGAAAATCTATCTAGTAATAATCTTGTAAAAACTCATGGCATATAACGATGTTATATCGCTTGTACAAAAGGTGAGGTGCTAAGAAGGACCAACGTCGTGAAACATTTTGCCTTGTTTTTCAGCTCTGCTCTGATTAATGAATAACTGATCTTGCCTTTCTTCACTTTTATGAAAGGAGGCTGAATGTTCAGTTTTGAGGCAGGGAAGAACCTGTTCTAACAAATTCAAATAAGCTTCGCTGATAATGAAGAATACTTGGGATAATAGCGGGACAAATTATGAAAGCAAGCACTTAAACATGTGGCGTTCGAAGACGTTTCAGGATGCTTCGATTTACTTTCGTGGTCGAACGGATTCCAGAACTTATTTCACATAGGCAGTGAATTTATTTGGTATTTGGCATTGAAGGCGATATTACACGGATTTGCGCTTCATGGTCATCTGCTTAGTAAAATGCTCATGACTTTGAATCGCTTCAACGCTATTGTTCTACCCACCAGCTACACTGCGGTTAGTTTCATATGCGTTCATATTATAGTTATTGTATCAAAGAAGTTGAATAGTTTGAAATGGAAATTAATAAAAGTTTTCAAACATCTCGAACATTACCTAATGGTCTCATGCGAGCACGCGTTGATGCGACTCGTTGTTTTGTAGCCGTCATACACGAAGGTCTTACAACCCGTGCGGGTTCAGCCACTACTACTTTTTCTTCATAGGTGTCGTCGAATGCTCCGAGTCGTTTGTCCTGAAATTACAATTACTTCGATTGAACGCTTTCATTTTCGCTATGATAGCCTTTATTATAACTGTACCAAGGTTATTTGACACTGCTGAGATATAGGTTCATTCTTACTAGGGCACCAGACAAGACAAGAATTTTGAGTAATGTCATAGGCGATCAAGATGCGAGATAGAAATTCACTACAACACAACGAGTACTTTAAAGTTAATATGAGAAAGTAAAGTACTTTGTAGACGAAAGTCAAATCAGTAAATGAAGGCTGCAGTTTTTATATGATTTACCATAAACCATGGGTTATATACAAATTTTATTCGGCTGATGTTTCAACTCATTATCTTCTTCGATGTCAACGATTCGATGACCCATGATCACTTGTCTTTGTCTTGATTTTCGCCTTCATTGATGGTTCAGTGGCAAAATTCTCGCCTGTCACGCGGACGACCTGGGTTCGACTCTCGGTCGGTGCATCAGAATTCTGTAGTGATTTAAGTGTTAGATGGTCGTGTCTGTGAAGCTGTGCTAATATGATGTAGACAGTCAATTAGCGTGCCACGCGGCTTTTCAATAAATACAACAATAATAAAAACAACCTAAAATAAACAATAGTTACATGTAACACATCAATGCCCTTCAACCAATACAATTGACGGATCAATAAACATATCACGTAATAGTCGATAAATTAATGAAGTGTAGTAGCTCGATTAGAAAGAACTTTGTAACATGTATAATATGTCAGCAAGGGTTAAACACATGGGGAACGATGAGCGAGAACCGATGGACACTATATAAGAAATATTCTGCTTACTTGAAGTGTTTGCAAACCTCAATGAGGAGACCGCGGGGCAGAGGAGCTATCGTGGTCGGCTCGGAAGGACGGGACCCGGGGGTGGTGTAACGAGTCGATGACGTGTGACTATTATAGTCGTATGAGTCATATAAGTCTCACATTGTATGTGCGAAATCGTCCTGCGAGCCCGCTACCCATCCCTGTGGATGAGTCGCCCAAAACTCCCACCACTGGGCTTGCAATACAATCCTAAGTGCAACATCGAGCGATCGATAGTCAAGAGAGAAGTGGTAAGCAACCTTATGTCTTATGTGATATGAGTTAGCAATCGACAATCATTGTTCTAATCACAAGGCTACGTCGAGATGTTGAAGAATGAGTGGTCGGGCAAATGTGCTTCAGTGGTGTGGTAGTAAAGCACGCGTCCCCAGATAGGATGAAACGTGGGTTCGATTCCCGCCTGAGGTCGTGTTTTTGTTCACCACTCAATTCTCTTAGCTACATCGAGTCATAAATATTCTTAAGTCAGTCCGAATAGGCAATGAAGAGAATGAGAACGTCATGTGATCGATAATCGGGATCGCATTGGTGCACAACCCTGCGTCTTATGTGGCATGAGTTATAAGGAGAAAGAAACTAGCAGGAAGAAGAAAGGTAACCAGATGGCCGCATGGTCCTGCAGAAGGCGCTGGACTGCCGACGTCGTCGGCCCATTGCCTGCGTATCTCCGCTGCGTATCCGTTCTCCCTCACCCGTAACTACCGCCTCTCGTCCTTTGAGGTTACCTTAACAATCGAGCACGTTGCTTTGTCACTCGCATGAGAAAGATATTAAAGAAAAAAAGCAATGAACGTTGCATGAATTGCTATGCCGTCTTCGTTTCGTATGAGTCACATCTTCTTTGGTGGAGTATTATCAAAATGTGAGACAACACTCGGCGATTCCCTTATATAGAGGACGGTTGCTGATGTTACTGATTGCCCGCTGCAAGTATCTATCGAAACGTCGTCATGCTAATTATAGAAGAGACTTATCGAATGTTCATGCCAGGGTGCAAGGAAAGTCGGTTCCAAAATTTTCCCATGTTTCCTCAAAGTAAAGAAACTGATATACATGAATACTGCAAGATGTATGGGAAATCAATTTAGGTGTGGAACGATTGTAACTGCACCATTTTCTTCATTGCAGTTGTGATAGCCAGTTTTTTATCTATTGCTTCGTATTGGAGTGCCATAAAACGGTAGGAATGCAGAATATCATCACTACGTTTGGCTCGGTTATCCTCACATCATTCATATTGTAAGTTGTAATTAATATAACATGATTTCAACTTTTTTACTGCTTAATTTTTATTTTGATGGGTATGATAACATGTGATATCCGAAAGGGTGGTGAAAGGAGGAAATTTGAGAACATAATCTTCTGATAATATGATAAGACATTTTGAGTCTTTTATGAGGTTTGGTGGGACACTTATAGTATACTAAACACGCATGTTTTGCCTCAGTAGGACAACGTCTTTCGGTATCGTCGAGCTCTTGTAAGGGATATACCCCCATATATAAAGGGCTCGACGCCGAATAACATGTCACTGAAGGTCAAGTGATAAAATTCCTCGGTACCGTAAAGATCAAAATTTGAGCACGTGGCTCGTAAAATGGATTATACGTCTTCATTCGACTGATTTTCCACAGACCTTGTTCAAAAAATAATAGTAATATGATAATCTGATAAAATATTTTAGATCTTTTATGTTGTCTGGCATGGCACGTATACAGTAGTAGACCGGCTTGTTTCGTCTTTCCCGGTCATCAGTAGTACCGTGCCTTTTGATTCAACCGATCACCTACAGAGAAATATACCCTTGCATATAAAGGGTTAATGTTGTAGGTCACGATTTCCAAGCGCCGCTATGCCGTGAAGCGAGCATTAACACAACACCATCGAAGACATCGTACTATCTCTTTTCACTTGCGTTTTAGCCTAATCAGTAGCTGATGCATCACACTTCACGGAATTGACATGCGCCGCACAAATGTATTGAAGCCCACTTAATTCAAAAACGTGGTTGCCCCCGCAATTTTCACTTCCTATTTAGTGCCCACAGCGTATGCGGCTTAATGGTTAGAGGCTCTATGCGTCGCACACAAGGTCGATGGTTCGACCTCACACTCGTGGCTCACCAAGCCATTCATCCCTCCGGAGTCAGTAAATTGTTAGCGGATTGGTCGCTGACTTGTCTGGGAGGATAAGCAGCACTGACCTGATACAGCGGGAGGCCACCGCGAGCCATTGAAAAAGCTAATTGTGCATCCAATCACTTCAAGCGAAACTAAAAATTGAAGATGAATGCATGGCGCATCTCTCAAGAATTGATCAACACCGAGAGCTTTGTCCTTCTTATTTAGTGCCTGATTTCCTTATAAATGTCACGATGCGATGCAAACTTTTGTGGTCACAATTCACGTCATACGCTAATATGACACAGTTTCAACTTCTACTCACAGTTATTAACGTTTTATATCGAAGGTTACGGAGTGAATAAAATTACGAGAATTCTGAGAAACCGGCAAAACTTGGAACGCGATGTATGTGTAATAAATACGAAGCATGGCTAACTTTCCGTTTTCACCGCGTCATCGAAGCCACCGCACCTTTCAGCTGAATCTTTTGAGATCTCTCTGATAAGTATTTGGTGATGGCCGCCGGTACGGTTAGAATATGGTTGAGAAAACGACATAGCAATTGGCTTGATAGTGCAGTAGGTGATACAAGGGCCTCGCGAAAAGGGTAGTCGTAGATGCGAGGCAGCGTCAGAATCTAGGTTATGACATGGCAACGTTCTTTTCGTCATTAATGTGCTTTCTATGTACCACGGATCTTCCTCTTCCAGGGATCCCGCCTGGTTGGTCGCAAGGGCACGTGGCTGGTCTCCAGGTGGTGGATAGGGGACTAAACGCGAATCAAAAGCGACCGTGTGCTTCCCGGAGACGCAGTTGGATGAAGGAGATGAGTGTCCTGCATCCGCAGAGCCCATTTGACAAAACCCTATTACTAAGAGTCAAATCGGTCAAAAGCCTGTAATCAAGCGGCTGGGAAGTACATAGAAGGCGCTTAGGAGTCGCCTTCGACAAATAAGCTCTTCCCGCTCCTCTGAGAGAGACTGGCAATCTACTCCTGAGAACACAGCCGCCACGTTCAGAGCCTGGTACGCTATACGTTAAGTATCAAAATGCTAAAAACAGCAATAAACATGGGCCTCATTCTCCTGACCTCGAAAGAGCGCCTGGTACGGCAGCACCAGGTAGAACGAGTACGGAGAGGCTGCAAAATCTAAGGGCCACACTAGGATGCCAAAATCGAAACCGACTCAAATGACGATCTGTACCTACAATGCAAGAACCCTTGCTCACCAATCCGCTGTAGAAGTTCTACTGATTCAAGCAAGAAATATGAGGTAAGGAGGCATTAGCCTGGCTGAGACGAGAAGACGCCATCCTTTTCACTCTATTTATGGCACAGAAGAAGAACTGTTTCTTGGAACATGCGATAACTGAGGTGTCGGAAACGTTGGCATCCTCGTCAAATCGAATGTGACCGCGCACATAGTTTCATTTGAACAACTAACAACCCATATCGGACGTTTACGGTTGAAGCGATGTGGTTCAGTGCCGGCATTGTGTAACATCGTTGCTTACGCACCAACATCAAGCTATGACGAAGACGAAGTCGAAACATTCTATGTGGACTTCGAAAGATTCTTCAGAAAAGGCCATACCTTCTTCAAGGTTATTGTAGGAGATTTCAAAGCGAAAACTGGACCTAGGAGAACGTCTGAAGAACGTCACATTGAGAACCCACGGGCTAGAATAGATTGAACAGGGTGAAAGGCTACCTGAGTTTATCATGACGACCCAAATCATCCATGGCAACTCGCAATTCCAAAAGCCTCTTTCTCAGCAATGGACGAGGGAGTCTCCCAATGGAGACCGCCATAACAAAATAGACCATATCTTAGTAAATTGAAGGTTTTGCCTGACCGATGTCGCTGATGCGCTTAAGTTCTACACAAGATCAAACCATCGCCTCCTCCGCGCAACGTTCACTTTTTCGCGGTAAGAGAGAAAGCTATTAAATTCAAACAACGAAGTTCTAGAACTACCCTAAACTGGGAAGTATTCAAAACATTAGTCGGCTCATGGGAAGATAACGTTGTCGACAGCATCGACGAAGAATACGATCGGCTCGTTGAATATCTTCACGTTAGCGCTATGAAAGCTGAGAGTCTGAAAGCCACGAAGAGACGTTTGTCTCCTCAGACACTCGAGCTGATACGTCAACGTGGAATCGCACGAGCTACAGACAACCGAACCCTCACGTCCGAACCAATGAATAGCTGCAGAGAAGCGATAAAAAAACCTCAAGGACAGAGAGCTGGGAAGAGCATTCGCAAAGCCATCGAGGTTCTGCCAATCACAAAACCAAGATGATTGCACTCCGATGCCTTGATGGGACACTTACAGCTTTCAGAAGGGCAATAGAGAAAATCGTCTATCAATACTACTCGGATCTCTTTGCTAGCCAAATCCTCTTACCGTCATATAAATTGAAAAAGGATGAATATGTCGTTCCACCAGTCCTCCATTCCGGAATCCGACATGCTATATCGTCAATAAA